TGCTGTTCTCTTGAAACATCCCACCCTCGCCTTCTCCCATAGAGTCCAAAAGTCTGTTCTATCACATATTTATTCACCCACATATGATGTAGCCATCTCTGACCAGGAAAAACGTCCCATTGAAGCCATCCTGTAGAGAATGGGTTTTTAAACTTTCCTGACCCCCTTGAAGTTGTATGTAAAATTATGTGTGTACATGTGTGTCTTTTTGTGTGTCCAGAGATGCTATGAAAGGTGGTCACTCTGAAGCGTAATATTTTTCTAATCACCCTTCCTTTTCACAATCTCCTATAAAGCACACAGTAGGCAAGTCAGGGAGATCCATCCACAGTAAAGATGAATGCAGGGGGGCTTCTTCGCTGGTGGCTCAGTGGTAAAGAATCCACTTGCCAATGCAGGAGACACGGGTTCAATCCATAATTGGGGGCAGAACCCACATGCCAAGGAGCAGCTAGGCCTGTGCGCCACAACTTTTGAGTCTATGCTCCAGAGCCCGGGAACCACAACTGCTGAGCCCATCTGTCACAACTACTGAAGCACTTACAGCCCTAAAGCCCAAGCTTCGCAACAAGAGAAGCCACTGCAATGAGAAGCCAACACACCACAACTAGAGAGCAGCCCCCACTCACCACAACTAGAAAAAAGCCCAAGTAGCAATGAAGACCCAGCACAGCCAAAAAAAATATAAAAAATAAACAAAAAAGATGAATGCAGGGGGATTCCCTGGAGATCCAGTGGTCCCAGGTGATTCAGTGGTAAAGAATCTGCCTTGCAATGGAGAAGATTTGCAGGTTTGATCCCTGGTCAGGGAACTAAGACCCCACATACCACAGGGCCACTACTGATCCCACGTGCCACAATGAAAGATTCCTCATGATGAAACAAAGATTCCATGTGCTGCAACTAAGACACAACACAGCCAAATACATACATACATATTGTTTAAAAAAAGATCAATGCATTGCATGCACAGAACCTATTCTCTGAAATTTGTGACAGGTGCTCTGGTGAAAGGACAAGTCAACGGACTTTATTCCAGCGAGGGATGATGTAAGCAGTGACACTGCCTCCCAAGTGTGACCAGGAATCCAGGGTGTGCATTGGAGGAAGGCAAGAGCATACATCCACAGATGGGGTGGGAAACCTCTGGTGTTAGCAGCAAGGCTGTTGTGGAGCAACATACGAGCACCGTAGCGTGTCCTCATCTCCCATTTATTATTTATGTCCCACTTGCTTCCAAAAGGATGTGACACGGCTTTCAATGAAAAGCACAGATATGAAAGAATCATGCAACCTCTAAAACTAAACTCAGGAGGTGAGAGCCAAGAAGGCAAAAAGGCAAAAGAAAGAGGCAGTCTGTAGAATAATTATATCAGGAAGCAGTGGCTTCGCTCCGAACTTCCTGTCCTCCAAGAGAGAAAAAAGAAGGCAAACACAATGGTATATCGTTTCCTTTAGCTCGTAACAGGAAACAGACCATCAGGAGAGGCGTTAGCCATCTCCTGGGAATTCTGGCCCCCTTTTGGCCAGCGGAGACCTAAGGAAGGGGAGGAGAATGGAGGTGAGTCCCTCCCCGAACATCCAGCTCCTACAGGGATGACATGTGTCCATTTAAAAAGGGCTACATTTCTGGTATCTAAAGAAAAGCTGCCCTTGTCAAACTGTTCATTCTGCTCATCAAATATTTACTGAACAACAGACTGGTTCCAAATTGGGAAAGCAGTACGTCAAGGCTGTACATTGTCACCCTGCTTATTTAACTTATATGCAGAGTACATCATGCAAAATGTCAAGTTGGATAAAGCACAAGCTGGAATCAAGACTGCAGGGAGAAATATCAATAACCTCAGATATGCAGATGACACCACCCTTATGGCAGAAAGTGAAGAACTAAAGAGCCTCTTGATGAAAGTGAAAGAGGAGAGTGAAAAAGTTGGCTTAAAATTCAACATACAGAAAACTAAGATCATGGCATCTGGTCCCATCACTTCATGGCAAATAGATGGGGAAAAAATGGAAACAGTGACAGACTTTTTTTTTGGGGGGGGGCTCCAAAATCACTACAGATGGTGACTGCAGTCATGAAATTAAAAGACACTTGCTCCTTGGAAGAAAAACTATGACCAACCTGTACAGCATATTAAAAAGCAGAAACATTACTTTGTCAACAAAGGTCCATCTAGTCAAAGCTATGGTTTTTCCAGTAGTCATATATGGATGTGCGAATTGGACTATAAAGAAAGCTGAGCGCCAAAGAATTGACACTTTTGAACTGTGGTGTTGGAGAAGACTCTTCAGAGTCCCTCGGACTACAAGGAGATCCAACCAGTCCGTCCTAAAGGAAATCAGTCCTGAATATTCATTGGAAGGACTGATGCTGAAGTTGAAACTCCAATACTTCCACCTGATGTGAAGAGCTGACTCATTGGAAAAGACCATGATGCTGGGAAAGATTGAAGGCGGGAAGAGTAGGGGATAACAGAGAATGAGATAGTTAGATGGCATCACCGACTTGATGGACATGAGTTTGAGTAAGCTCTGGGAGTTGGTGGTGGACAGGGAAGCCTGGCATGCTGCAGTCCATGGGGTCGTAAAGAGTCAGACACGACTGAGCAACTAAATTGAACTGAGCTCTGGCGAGACTCCAGACTAGCACTTTAACGTTGAGAATAAGAACCTGGTGCCTTCATTCAAGGATCTCATGGTCAGGGATGATAGATGTGAGCAAATAATTAGAGTGAACATAGACATGTGTCCCAGAAAACAGATGACCATCAACATGGAAATACAGAAGAGACATGAACTTTACTTGGGAGGAAGGCCAGCATTCAGGAAACTAGGAGGAGGGAACAGGAGGCTTCCCACCTGAGGGCCTCCTACAGGCAGAGGAAGTACAGAGACGGGCATCCAGTTTTATGGGAAAGGAGCAGGGTGGCACACCTAGGGTGTGGAGTGCGTGGTCATGGTGAAACAAGAGGAGGCTTGAAATTTTGGCTGCAGTTAAATCATGAAAGGCCTTTTATGTGAGGCTAAAGAATCTGGGCCTTGGCATGAGAACCATCAAAATGTTTAAGCAAGGAGTGACGAATTCAGATCATGGGTTTCCTCTATTTGCTTAAGATCCTCAAAGCCCACAAGACTGATGGAGAGTCTAAAGTTGGCCAACAAATCCTTACCTGCAGCAACCAAGAGCCAAAACGAGGGCATTGCCTGCAAGCTCGGTGCTCTTTTGCAAAGCAGAACTGCGTGTCCTTCCTCATAAAACAGATAACCAGGGACTCTGGCTCAGTGATCCTGCTTAGGCATAACCAAGAAGAGGTGTCAAGTCAGCAGCAGGGGGCTACTTCCAAGAATAAATCCAGGTATTTTGGAAGAAAAAAAGAAAAGCCAAATCGGGAACCATCTAAAAACTGTTCCTTGGAGAAGGACACGCAGGTACTTTCTGCTCCTCTGTGTAATTAAAAGAACAAAAGCAATAGCCTGTTCCCCCTTCATGCATCAGCTTCCAGTGGGACAAAAAGCCAAGCACAGCACAGCTGAAGGAGGGATGGGAGCCCAGAATGGATTAGGGGCCAACATTGGGGTTCTAGGCAGAGCCCAGTGGTTCTGGGGGCATGTGGACAGGAAATATACCTGTTCTAAAAGTGTAGGGGGTTACCTAGGAAGCCAAGAAGAGGCAAGAAGCCACAGAGCACAGGTCTCCCTGCTCTTTGCAGGGAGAGAGATGGGGCCGCTCATCTCTTTCCCGCCTCTGACAAGGACCACATTCCCTGCTCCTCACTGGCCAGCCTCCCCTTGAGAGCCCACGGTCCTTCACTGGGACAGCCACTTCTACAGATGAGCTCACAGCATGTGTTCTGAGCCCAAGGATTCTGATGGGACCAGGACTTATTTCCACAGCTTGAACAGACAAGTAATTTATGATCCCAGGGACCCTGAAGTAGGAGCAGGCTGCATTCCAGTCATGACACTCTCATTTTGTGACTATCAAGACCTCACATCATAGGTCCTGAGCATTAATTGTGACCCACTATTTGATATAGTAAGTCCTTCCACAGGGTTCTGTGATGTTGTAAGTTTGTTTGCTTTTTTAAATTCCAAAATAATGTATTTGTCCTCTGCTCTTTCTGAGAAGCAGCCTATCATAGTCTCCCATGGCTTTATGAGAGCTCCCGGGCAGCTTTGCGAGTGACCGTTCAACACCTCAGAGCTCCCAGAATCCCTTGCAGAGATGCTGCTCAGAGTCTTAGACTCAGCCACTAAATACAAAATTGTTTGCTTCTCCAAGCCTGCCTCCTTTACCCTCTGACCCCCATTTGGGCTGAGATGCCTGGGTACTGTTTTGAAAAATGGCTACTGTTAAAGGAGGCATGCTAAGTTGCTTCCCTTGTGTCTGACTCTTTATGACCCCATGGACTGTAGCCTGCCAGACTCTTCTGTCCATGGGATTCTACAGGCAAGAATACTGAAGTGGGTTCAAGCCATTTCCTCCTCCAGGGGATCTTTCCGACCCAGGGATTGAACCCGTGTCACCTGCGGCTCCTGAATTGCAGGCGGATTCTTTACTGCTGAGCCACCAGGGAAGCCCTGTAAAAGGGTAGTGCTTTGTTACAGGAGAAACTTAGAGTTCTCCCCAGACAAACTGGTGAACTCAACATAGCTTCTGGTTAGGGCCCATCCTCCTTTTACAACCTTATCTCATTTAGCACTGACCTCCACACTCTCCAGGGCTCAGGGTTTCTTTTCCTCTTGAATCCTTTACCCAGATTTGACTCTTATCAGTTTCCATGTTCCAGATCTTTCCTGAAGCCCAGTCTTCCATCAAAACACCCTGTGTCCCATCTCCTTACACTCTGAACTCTAATTAATCTAATGGTGGAGTGATGCTGCTGCAAAAGTTCCTTCAGATGGCAGACTGCAGGAGAAGGTGTTTCCACCCTAGAGTACAACTTTAGTGTCTGCGCCGCTCTGCACCCCTCCCCCATTCTCCCCGTTTGCAGAACCTCATCTCCTTATCGTGTGCCATCTTAACAGGATGTTCGCTCAGGATAACCTGATCTGTCAGGAACAAGAGGTGGACATGTGACCGTAACCAGGCCAATCTGGCTTTCCTTGACAGAAGTGACCTAAAGATAACTCAACAGCTGGAACCAACGGACCCAAAAGTAGGGCTCTGTAAGCAGGCGATCTAGAGCTCCACGCCTGCCCTGTTTCCTTTCTTGTCCTTTCTCAGGCCTGACTAATTACCCAGGAAGAGTCTGACCTCACCTCAGCTTTTTTATTCTCTCTTAGATTAGTTTGCAAGGCACAAAGCCCTAATCCCATTTCTTACCTGAAGGAATGGTCAACTGTAGACATTTTAAGAAAAGGAAGCCTTGGAAGAGACTATCTTAGACAAAGTGGCCTCAGGGGAGGCTGGGTGCACTCCTTGAGAAAAGAGTGGATGTTTCTGGTGTAGCCTAGCCTCTCCACCAGCAGGTTCCATTGAGGGGATGATCAAAGGGCTGGGGGTGACATTTGACATGTGCCAGGATCTTGGCATGAGGATCCCACTTGTTTTCTGGTCGGGGGGGTGACTCTGCCCCCAAAGCCTCTCTGGGCCCTTGCTGGAGCCCTCCTGAGGATGACACCCCAGGATATGGTGGGCAGCTTGTTTTCAGGGCATTCCTGCCAACAGTGCAGGCCCAGCTCAAACTGGAGGACATCCCCACAGGGAGCCCAGGAGGAAGCCAGCTCCCCCCACCCCGCCCCCCGCCAACCCCCGGGGAGGCTCTGGCTCCTGGCTCCCATCCTCCTAGACTGAAGGGGCAGAAATTAAATCAGCTGTGCTCAGAGGCAGACTCCCAGGAAGCAAAGACGCCCCAACTTCAGGATCAGGTCCTTACACTAGCCCCTTCCAGTCTCATAGAAGTAAAACTCCACTTCTACACCCAATCCCACAAGGTTCTTTTCCACTTTTTTTCTCCCATAAAGTAGGCCCTTCACATCATGGAAGCACAGACCCCCACAAAACCTGGCTCTATCCCCAGTGGGATACAGAGGAAAGAGCAATGAAAAGAGGAAACTTATCAGTGGGAGTTCTCCGCACAGAAGAAATAGAAGAGAATGGTAAGCAGGGTGTAGCAGGACCTGCCCTTCTTTCTATGTCACAGGGAGATGTCCTTCAGTACTTCACGGGGACCGTGGGCAAGCAGAGAAATACGCATGATGGTCCCTGGGGCCAAAGGAATTAGAGGTCAATGCAGAAGGGCCGGGCACTACCAGGTAACCAGGAAACAGGTGCTTCCTCTCTGGAAGGGGCACCACACCCGTCTTCCTCAGCAGGCGCTCACTCTGAACTCAGCAGGCGCTCACTCTGAACTCAGCAGGACACTTTACTGAAAGAAAGGTAGCCTATGGCAGGCACGGTGAATGGGCAGGAAGAAGCGGCTCTGTTTAACTAGCATGGTTCCTTGTCCCAGACACACTCGGGGCTGGAAGAACAGACCTCTGAAGTTTGGGTCTTCAGAGGATGTCCCCCACGGACAGTCCCACAGAAGTGGTGCTTTGAACACTTTGAACAGATAAGCTGTTCTTATCCAGAACAGCTGCCAATTTATGCTGTGCTCCCATGAGAATTGGAAAAATAAGAAAGTCCCCTCCTTCTGTCTCGATGGTGTGCCAGGCAGACAATGGTTCATGCCTGATTCCTGGCTTGGTAAGTGGAACACACCTGGAATTCTAGTCCTCACCCACCCACCAGCTCCCTAATGCTCGGTATGTAAACTGCCCAACCTGCTCCGGGGGGCTCGAGTAGGGCCCCTGTCTCCAGGAGCCTCCATCCCTCTTCTCCTGCAGCCCTTCTCTGTGTCCTGCTGCTTCCCAACCCCTACCCCCATCTGTTTGGAGTCTACCTTCCCCATGGACTTCCCTGGTAGCTCAGCTGGTAAAGAATCTACCTGCAGTGCAGGAGACCCTGATTCAATTCTTGGGTCAGGAAGATCCCCTGGAGAAGGGATAGGCTACCCATTCCAGTATTCTTAGACTTCCCTGGTAGCTCAGCTGGTAAAGAATCCGCCTGCATGCAGGAGAACTGGGTTCAGTCCCTGGGTTGGGAAGATCCTCTGGAGATGGGAATGGCAACCCACTCCAGTATTCTTGCCTGAAGAATCCCTAGTGGGCTACAGTCCATGGAGTCACAAAGAGTTGGACACAACTGAGCGACTAACACTTTCACTTCCCCGATGGGAGACAAGTCTGCAGACCTCCAGGAGTTATGTGAGGTGGTGCCCCTTCTCCTCTGCTTTCTTCAGAAGCTGCAGAGTGGACAGAAAAAGACTCTATCTCCGGTACAACAGGAACCTCCTTTAGTTTCTCCACCATGATGGCTCAGGTCACCTTACGACTACCTAGGAGCAGACAACTTCACCCAGTAAGAATCTGCTTTCTCCTGAAGTCAATAAAATCTAGTTTCATGTAAAGTATGCTTATTTTTTTCAATTAATAATAGTTTGGGTCTAATCTCAGAGAAAAATAATCCTGGCACTATTATCTTCAAGAAAATGGAGCCATCTCCAGTTCCATCTTGATATGAAATCCCCTATCCACAGACACAGGTGGAGAGGAAGCTGCAGTATGTGACACTGCAACATGTTTTTCAGGCTCAGCAGAAAAATAAAGCTCTGGTCCCTTTATTTTTATTTACTTATTTGGCTGTGCTGGGTCTTAGCTGAGGTACTCGGCATCTTCATTTGCAGCATGTGAACTCTTAGTTGTGGCATGTGGGATCTAGTTTCCTGATCAGGGATCTAACCCAGGACCCCTGCAATGGGAATGCGGAGTCTTAGCCACTGACACCACTGGACCTTTAGTCCCTTTTATGCACCAATGATTCACTTTGTTCTACTGATTCCCTGGAAAAGTTACTCTCTCTGTTACTAAATATATGAAGCATTTATTATGGATGATGACATTTATAAGGTAGTTATCAGTTAGTTATTGCTACAATAATGTTGCATTAACTCACAGGCCTATGACCAGAAGCATGTATTTCTCCCTCTGAAGATCAGCCTGGGTTCAGCTGAACTAGGCTGGGTTCAGCTGGACTTTACACCAACCTGCAGGCTGGGTTCAGAACTCTCCACAAGCTTTCCACCCTCCTTGGCCTAGCAGCTTTTTGAGACATGTTGTTCTCGTGGTAAAAAAAAAAAAAAAAGTGGGAGTGCAAGCTCAACCACGAAAACACATTTCAAGCCTCCACTCATGTCATGTCTGCTTATATGCCAATAGCCAGAGCAAGTCACATGGCCAAGATAAAGCCAACTAGGGCAAGCCCAATATCAGTAGGGCAGAAAAATATATTCTGTCTCTCATAGAAGGAACATGGGAAATGGCACACAGTAAGGGGTGAAGAACTGAGAAACCATCTGCCATAAGGAGGTAGGATAAAGGGAAGGATGGCAAAAGAAGTAATATTTTTAGAGATCTATTTTGTGCCAGGTATTGTCCTATGTGTTTCAGGCATAAGAAGCCTACATTATAAATAGAAGACTGACATCTAGATGGGAACACTGGTGAGCAACTGACCTGGATTCACACATGGATTCAACAGACCCCAGACTCTGCCAAGGGCTAGAGAGCTGGAGACAGCAACCTCTGTCTTACTCTTGCAGGACCACAGATGGGTGTTGAGCGAGGAAAGAGGTAAATAAATGGTGATCTTTTCAAACCCAGGCTTCTCCCAAAGAGCCTGAAGCAGGAACATTGTGTTTGAAGTAATAATTGGAGTCCAGTGGCTGAGTCTTTCATCATTTAGACTGTAGATTCACTGCTTGCTCATTCCAACACTCTTGCAGGTATTGAAATTAGTCCTAGACTGTATGAGTCATACCATCATGCCCTAAATTCTATGCTATAAAGGGGTCAGGAGTCATTTTCAAGTTACAACAAGTTCAGACTTTAACATGTTCTAATTGCTTTCTTACATTTGACTCATGTGTTAATGCAGAAGATAGTATAGGAGGAACAGGATAACGTTATCAGACAGCATTCACAGGTGTAGCTGTGAGTCTCTAGGATGCTCTTAGGGAGAATAAAGCAGGTCACAAAAGTGCAGGGATCTGGTGGTAAGTTAGTTGGTGCTGAATAAATATTTGCAAAAAAAATTAATCCATCAACAAAGATTATCTCTACCTGTGCAGTGCAGCTGTATTGTACCATGGGTGCTGGGGACTGGAAGGATGTTTAGAATTCATCTAAACTGCCAGTGGGCTTCCGTGATGGCTCAGACAGTGAAGAATCTGCCTGCGATGTAGGGGACTCTGGTTTGATCCCAGGGTGGGGAAGATCCCCTGGAGAAGGGAACAGCTACCCACTCCAGTATTCTTGCCTGGAGAATCCCATGGACAGAGGAGCCTGGCGGGCTATAGTTCATGGGGTTGCAAAGAGTCAGCGAATATTCACTGAGTGAATATGCTACCATTCAGAAAGAAACACTACCTCTAAGTTTTTTCCAACCTGCTTTCTCACTCTTGTCCTTTTAGACACTGAATGATATTCTGATGGCTCCTCCATATTTACTGATGACTTGGGCTCATGTGTTACAACCTTCCCTGATCCACAAGTCCCACTGTTCTCCTGGAGAACTTGGGTACAACTGTGAAAGACCACGTAGTACCCAAGCTTTGCAGCTCCCAACTCTGTCAACACTAGCAGCCTTACTCTTCCCCACATCCATCCATCTCCATTACTCAGGCTTTAAACCTAGGGCATCACCCTCACCACGTTTTCAAACTGCCGATCAGAACCAATGGTGAGTCATGAAGGCAATTTAGTGAGCTGTAGCATTTTTACAAAATAGAAAAGAAAATAGCCAAGATCATTGCATGTAATGAGGGCATATCTCAAGAAACTTTTGCTTGAATTATACATACTTGACAGGCATACAGAATTGTGGTGTCAGATTTTTTTTTCCTGAGAGTTATGGTCAAAAAAGTTTGAGAAATACTTCCCTTGGCTTTTTCATTCACAGAACATTCCATTTTTAAAATATCACTCTCTCATAGCCACGAGTTATTATATCTCCTTGCTCTCTACTCTTCATACACT